TCTCTCTCTCTCTCTCTCTCTCTCTCTCTCTCTCTCTCTCTCTCTCCCCCTTCGGTGTTCTTGCCTCCGTCCCCTCCACCGCTTCTTGCTCGCGCATCGCTTCCCTGTCCCTGTCGCCTTCCCCCGATGTCTCACCACCCCCTCCGGTTACCCCCTCCGTTTAGGGTTTTCGGTGTTCTTGCCTCCGTCCCCTCCACCGCTTCTTGCTCGCGCATCGCTTCCCTGTCCCTGTCGCCTTCCCCCAATGTCTCACCACCCCCTCCGGTTACCCCCTCCCCCTTCCATCGCGTATCCATTTGCAATCCCCTCCTCTCTCTCTCTCTCTCTCTCTCTCTCTCTCTCTCTCTCTCTCTCTCTCTCTCTCTCTCTCTCTCTCTCTCTCTCTCTCTCCTGTCCGCTGTCTCCGTTGCCCTCACGGCAAAAGGCACAAAAAAGCAGCTATCCGGTAATGCCACACACAATGATACCGGGGGGTGGAGGCACGGAGGTTGTGCAGAGGAGGCGTGGAGGAGAGGCGGAGAAGCTGCGGAGAAGGTGCAGAGGAGGCGCGGAGGAGGTGCACAGGAGCTGCAGAGGAGGGGCGGAGGAGCGGAGAAGCTGCGGAGGATGGGCAGAGTGGAGAAGCTGTGGAGGAGGGGCAGAGGAGCGGAGAAGCTGCCGAGGGGGGGGAGCAGAGAAGTTGCAGAGGATGAGCAGGTGAAAGAGGAGAAGCTGTGGAGGATGAGACGGGGAGGGGTTGCGGGGAAGCTGCGGAGAAGGGGCACAGGAGTGGCAGAGGAGTGGAGGAGCGGCGAAGGAGAGGCGGAGGATGGGCCGAGGGGTGGAGGAGCGGAGGGCAGGCAGAGAAGGAGCGAAGAGGAGTGTAGGAGCGGAGGAGTGGAGGGGGGGCGGTGGAGGCACGGAGGATGAGCAAAGGACGGGCAGAGGCGGAGCGGAGACGCTGCGGAGGAGGGGCGGAGGCGCGGAGAATAAGAGGAGGATCAGAGGAGGAGGGACAGAGGTGTGGAGAAGCTGCAGAGGACGAGCGGAGGAGCAGAGGACTGGAGGAGGAACAGAGAAGCAGAGGAGCAGTGGAAGAAGTGTGGAGGATTAGAGGAGTGGAGTGAAGGAGGCGTGGAGGAGGAGTGAAGGACTGGAGGAGCAGAGGAAACGCACCGGAGGGAGGCGAGACGAAGGGGTGGAGGAGCCATAGACAAGGTGCAGAGGGGAGTGGAAGAGGAGCAGAGAATGTGAGGAGGGGAAGAGGAGGGCGGGAGGAGCGGAGGATCAGTGGAGCAGCAGCAGAAGAGACGTGGAGGATTGGAGGCGGAGGAGGGGCACAGGAGCGGAGTGGGACCGGGGGAGCAGCGGAGGAGGTGCGAAGGATGAGTGGGGCACAAGGGGCGGAGGCGCGGAGGATGAGTGGAGGAGGAGAAGCGGAGGGGAGGACCGCCGGAGGAGGGACGGAGAAGCTGCAGAGGATGAGCGGTGGAGAAGCGGCGCAGGCGTGGAGAATAAGAGACGGAGGTGGGGCGACGGGGCGGAGAAGCTGCGGAGGCAGCGCGGAAGATGAGAGGAGGAGGGCCCGAGGCACATGCAGGTGCGAGACGCAGGGGAGGACGGGCGGCGGCGGCGAGGATGAGTGAAAGAGGAGGGGCTGAGGAGCGGGAAGCTGCGGAGAAAGAGTGGGGGAGGAGGGGAGGAACAGCGGAGGATGAGCGGAGGAGGGGTGGAGGTGCAGAGAAGCTGTGGAGGAGCAGGGGAGGAGGGAAGGAGCTGCGGAGGATGAGAGGGGGATGAGTGAGGAACGAGGGGCAGAGGCGAGGAGGATGAGCGGAGGAGCACCGAGGAGAGGCACGGAGAAGCTGCGGAGGATGAGCAGGGGAGGGGGAGCGGAGGAGCGAGTGAGCGGGGTGGGACGACGAAGTCTCTCTCTCTCTCTCTCTCTCTCTCTCTCTCTCTCTCTCTCTCTCTCGCAAGCTCTCGGTGGAACAGGGGGCTGGAGTCATCGGGCAGGGTGGCCAGGAAGCGGCAGGAGTGGGGTAGCGGAGTCCGGTGGTGGAAGAGGCGTGGAAGTGGGCACAGGCCGAGTGGTGCAGGGGTGGATGCAGTGGCGGAGCGCGGAGGGTGGAGGGCGGAGGGCTAGGGTGGAGGTCAGAGGGAGGGCGCAGTGCGACGGATGGCAGGCAGAGAGAGAGAGAGAGAGAGAGAGAGAGAGAGAGAGAGAGAGAGAGAGAGAGAGAGAGAGAGAGAGGAAAGGAG